CCTGGGCCGCAAAGTGAATTTGAACCAAAAGGTTGGCAGTTAAAACTCACCAGCTGCCTCTTAAAAACCCTGTACAGGGTCGCTATGAGTCAGAACCAACTCAATGGCACTTAACAACCATACACCAAACAATCCTCTGCACTACATGAAGCAAAAAAGCAAGGAGAAGCAGTAGGATGAAAGAAAGGCGAGTTCTTACATCCCAAAGGAAGGGGAAACTGAGTCACATAGAGACAACCTCCAGGAATCAATATAAAAACCACCACAGGTGGAGAGGAACTGACTCCCCAGTCAGATTCAAAACACACTTAAAATGGCATTCAAGGTTTCTCTTCTTGTCTCTTGTAATTCAACAGGCTTAAGACCCCTTCCTTGGTTTTATCCTCCAAATCAATCTAGATTGGCCTATGTATTTTTCAATTGAGATTAAACAATAGTTACTGGTTGGTGTTGTTAAATGCCTTTGAATCTTTCCAACTCATAGAGATGGGGAGCAGCTGGTGAATTTGAACTGCTGACCTTGCGGTTCAAACCGACACTGTGATGGAGTGCTTATGACCACACCAGGACTCCACACTAGGCCTTCAGGCAGTCATGGGAAAAAAATTGTTTTAATCAGATCACCTGCTCAGCAAAGATAAACCTGATATATACAAAGAAATCCTCTGGGCCTATATTTCTGCATATGACCACCCTGGCCATTTTAGATGGTTGTCTGTCTTTCCAAGTGAAGTTGTTGTTAGGTGCCATTGAGTCAATACAGACTCATAGCCACCTCATGCACAACAGAACAAAATACTGCCCAATCCTGCACCATCCTTACAATTGTTGGTACACTTGAGCCCACTGCTGTTGCCACAGTGCCAATCCACCTCTCGGGGGAGGGGGGGGATCTTTTTGCTGACTCCCCACTGCCTCTTTTTCACTGACTCTCAAGCATGATGTCCTTCTCCAGGGACTGGTCCCTCCTGATATGTCTGAAGTATGAGAGATGAAGTCTGGCCATCTCGGCTTCCAAGTAGCATTCGGGCTGTACTTCTGCCAACACAGATTTGTTTGTTCTTCAGGCAGTCCATGATCATTTCAATATTCTCGTCCAAAACCATAATTCAAATGCATCAATTCTTCATCTCCCAGATGAAAAGAAAGCATAAACTCACCCTTTAACTTTTCTATTTTATAAAATCTAAAGTCCCCAACAGTGTTTGTGGGTGAATGGGCATGCAATAAGCTTCACTGCTGGTTGATTCATTTAAATTCAGTTTAGCTGTGCATCTTGAAAATAAAATAGAAGTACTTCCCCCTCCAATTATCTGATGTGCTACGAGCGAGCAAAGCGAGTTAATGTCAGCAAGTATTGGTGTCAGCCAGGAACGGGTAAAGTCACATGTCTTAACACAGCATCAAATATTCCTACCTGTGAACGCCAACACCAGTTTCCAACCAGAAGTGTTGGGGGTTGGGGAGGGGATCAGGGAGAGGAGTGTCCTATTAAAGCATAAGAAAAGCACCACTTGTCAAGCAAAAAAATAGAGATCCAAATGAAGTTAAACCAAAATTGTCTCTAATTGTATTGTTTATTTATATTCTTGTGATATTTTTCTACTCTTTGTTTGCTCTTAATGAAATTTAAATATACCTTGTTGTTTACCACATTTGCCAATTGGATATTTTGTTTTGTAATATAAGCTCCAAATAGAGTTGACATTGTGTCAGTCTTACTTCCTTATAAGTCTGTTGTTGTTGTTGTTGTTGTTAAGTGCCATTGAGTCGATGCCTACTCATATTGGCCCTATATAGGGTTTCCGAGGCTATAAATCTTTGAGGGAACAGAAAGCCTCATCTTTCTCACATACAGAAACTGGTTGCCTTGAACCACTGACCTTATGGTTCACAGTCCACTGCTTATCATACAAAATTACCTTGTTTCCCATGAGCTTCATAGTCATTGATAATTGACATTTCAACTCATAAATACCCAAAGACGTAATGTGAAAATTGATTTGTATGTTCTGGCTAGTTTAAGAGGGCAACTAGCACTTGGAAGATACACAACAAATAGGTTTCAATTGATCAAGGAAAAGAACTGTCTGCAATCTGTATTTCTTACCCAACCCCCATGCTTAACACTCAATGCAAGCCAGAAAACAGAGGAAAGGCTTTCCCACCCACGCTGCCCTAATAGACTTGTTAGTGTACATTTTTTTTAGAAAAACACTCAATGAAAATTTCCTGTAAAGTTATAAATCATTATCATTGCATCAAACATTTGAACCTATTATTGTTGTTAAATGCCATAGAGTCACTTCGGACTCATAGCGACGCTGAATAGGGCTTCCGAGGTGCAGCTGGTGTGTTTGAACCACCGACCTTACAGTTAACAGTCCAGTGCCTATCCAACAGTGCCACAACTCTGTTCAAAGGACTCCTTTGAACCTGTTGTTGTTAAGTGCTGTCAAGTCGGTTCAGACTCTTAGCAACCTGGTCTTGGGTTTCTGAGGCTTTGAAACTTCTGAGGGAGCAGAAAGCCTCATTGTTCTCCCAAGGAGAGGCTGACAGGCTCAAACCACAGATTTCAGGGTTTGCAGTCCAGTGCTTATCTTATGGAACATCCACACTCCCTTTGAACCTATGTTGTTGTTATTTGCCATGGAGTCGGTTCCGACTCATAGCAACCCTGCACAGGGTTTCCGAGGCTGTAAATCTTTATGGGAGCAGAAAGCCTCATCTTTCTCCTGCGGAACAACTGGTGTTTCAAACTGCTGACTGTGAGATTAGCAGTCCAATTCGTAACCACTATGCTACCAGAGCTCCTTAATGGACATTATATCTCCAAATAATATACAGTAATATTTTGTCTGTTTCTTCTAGCAGAAATTAAGTTTCTAGAAACTAACAGCCTTGTCCTCCTCTCATTCCAATGACCAGCACACTGCCTGGTCCACAGCAGGTGAATAAAGAAATGCTGTCACTGCTATTACAAGAAGAAAAAGTTCACTTCATCCCTCCTCCATATCACCACCACAGCTAACAAAAATGCTAATAAAATCCCCAACTCAGCCTTCTCTCTTAGCACCTTGCCTTGCTGGGTCTTCCTTCCTTGGCAGCCCGGCCCAGTCCCTGGACCAGGCTGGGGCTATCTATCCCAGGCTTCTCTTCTCCAAATTTCTGTAACTACAAGAGAACTTGGTTATAATGCAGCATCTTATTCGTCACATGGATCTAGCTGCTTCAACTTTAATTTCTGCCTCTCCTAAGCAAAACTGCCACATCCCCCAAGCCTGATTAAAGCAGGGCGAGAACATCAGTCCTAAAACAAACCCCAGAATTATACAAAGCATCTCTAGTGATTTTTTTTTCTCAGAATCAATTCCTTAAATTGTTCTTTTTCCACTTTCCTATCATTCTTTGTGCGTGTCTATATTGTGTTTCTGGTGTGGCACTGCAGGTTAATGCGCTAAACTGCAAGGTTAGCTTGAACAGCAAGGTTGGCAATTCAAGCTCACCAGTCACTTCTTGGAAACTCTATACAGGGTGGCTACAGGTCAGAACCAACTCAATGACACTTAACAACACATTATGTATTATTTATCCTATTTATCATATTATGCCATCAGTATTATTTTAAGGAAACCTGGTTTGGTATTGCAGGGTTGCTAATCACAAGGTCGGTGGTTCATATCCTCAGAAACCCTGTACAAGGTAGCAATGAGTTGGAAATGATTGGACAGCATTTAACAACAACAACATGGTATATTCAAGGAGTTCTGGTGATGTGGATTAGGTGTTGGTCTACAAACCACACGTCAGTGATTCAACCCCACCAGCAACATCTCAGGAGAAATATGAGGTTGTCTGTCCCTATGAAGATTTATCGTCTCAGGAGCCCTATACAAGGTTGCTAAGAGCCCAAATTGACTCAATAGCAGTGAACTTGGTTTATTGGTTTTAATTATGCTCATGTGGAACCTGTAAGTAATCAAGAGGCACTTGTTTGAACAAAAACAATGGGATATTGTGTGGTTTAAAATCAGGAAAAGTAGGCATCAGAGTTGTATCCTTTTACCATACTTACTCAATCTTGAAAGAAGTGCAGCCAGAGTCCTTAGAAGCCAGGATAACCAGACTTCATCTCTCACATGTTATCAGGAGGGACCAGTCCCTGAAGAAGGACATCATGCTTGGTAAAATAGAGGGTCAGTGGAAAAGAGGAAGGACTCCAAAGAAATTTTTTTGCACAGTAGCGGCAGCAGTGGACTCAAATGTAAAAACAATTATGAGGATGGTCCAGGTCCAGGCGAGCTTTGTTTTGTTGTGCATAGGGTCCTATGAGTTGAAACTGTCTCAATGGCACCTAACAACAACAAATTCAATCTGTATGCTGAGCAGATAATCCAATAAATCAGATTGTATGAAGAAGAACACAGCATCAGGATCAGAAGAAAGCTTATTAACAATCCACAATGTGCTTATGATACAACCTTGCTTGTAGAAAGTGAACAGGGCTCGATGAAGATTTTTTTTTTAAAAAGATAGCTTTCACTCAGTTTGGATTGCATCTCCACATAAACAAAAATCATCACAGAAAGGTCAGTAAGCAACATCATGGTAAACAGAGAAAAGATTTAAATTGTTAAGGACTTCATTTATGTTGATCCACAATCAATGCCCATGGAAGCAGCAGTCAGAAAATCATATGATGTATTGCACTTGGCAAATCTGTTGCAAAAGACCTCTTTAAAATGTTAAAAGTCAAAGACATCACTTGGAGGACTAAAGTACACCTGACCCAAGCCATGGTCTTTCAACTGTCTCATATGCATGTGGAAACTGGATAATGACTGAGGAAGACTGAAGAATTGACGCCTGTGAATTATGGTGCTGGTGAAGAATAATTGAATATACCATGAACTTCCAGAAGAAAGAAAAAATCTGTCTTGAGGTTGTATTTAGGAGAAAGGACTGTAAGACTTTATCTCACGTACTTTGGGCATGTTATTATGAGGGACCAGTCCCTGCAGAAGGTCATGTGCAGTGAGAAGACCACCGTGAACGAAGACTCTCAACAGGGTGCCTTGGCACAGTGGCTGCAACAATGGGCAATGACTGTAAGCATGTGGCTGGACTGGCCAGCATTTTGTTCTATTTTACATAGGGTCACTATGAATTGGATCGGATACACTGGCACCTAACAATAACATTATACGATGCCATTTCATTACATTATTCCACCCACCTATACTATAACTGGACTTCTGGTGTGGTGCTGCTGATCAGCACTGGACTTTGAACAACTGGCAGTTCAAATCTACCAGCTGCTCCTTGGAAACCCTAAACAGGGTCTCTGTGAGTCAGAACCGACTTGACGGCACTTCATAACAACAAATACCATAACTGAAGTCCTGGTGGGATAATGCACTGGACCACAAGGTCAGTTTGAAATGCAAGGTCGACGGTTTAAATTCACCAGCCACTCCTTGGAAACCCTATACAGTATCACTATGAGTCAGACCGACTTGAAGGTACTTAACATAGCATAACTACTGATGTTATTAAGTGCCATTGAGCCAATTCTGACTTACAGTGACCCTGTATAGCAGGGGTGGGGAAACCTCTGACCCACAGGCCATATAAGTCCACAGAATTATTTAGTCTGTCCCTACCATGGCAATTGCATGTGGGACTCGAAATTCAATAAATCTAGGAGCTTTTTTCATAGCAACATAAATTTATATTAACTGGTATTATAAATATCCAACTGACCCTTGGCAGAAAAAAGATTCCCTTGGCAAAAAAAAAAAAAACAACAACGTTTCTGAGGAGCAGTTGGTGGGTTTGAGCAACCATCTTCCAGTTCAAACCGAACTTGTGATCCAGTGCTTATCCTGCAGCACCACACCAGGACGCCACACCCAAACTAGTTGAACATATACTCCAACATTTCCCTTCCCTTTAAAGCGTCAGCTCATAAAGAACAAAGACCCTTGACAAGAACACCCAAACTTTCAGCTAGTATTCATTGCCCTAGCCTTGATGGCTTGATGATCACAACTCGACTACAGGAAGATTTAAAAAAAAAAATTTTTTTTGAAAAAGGAAATGAGGGTAAATTGCTACAATTTGATGAACTTGACCTATATTCATGAAGGAAGTAGCTCTAAATGCCAACAGAGAGGGAAGGAGTCATCACATCAAGTATCAATGCTACCCCCTCTGTACATAGGGTAGATACGGACAGGCAACTTAGACATTGGCTACCTAAAATGAGGGGGCAATAAAGGCATGAAGTGACTGGCTTACAAGCTTTCAAGAGGGAATTTAGTTTGAAAGTGTGGGGTGGGGAGAAAGAGTCCCCACTGAATAGTTTTCGTCTTGTCTAGATGGGTCTGGTTAAAACAGATAAGAATAAGAGTCTTAAGATTCAATAGTGACCCCACTCCCACCCCCGGCAAGAGCACTAAGGAGCCAGCCAGCCGTTTCCACAGCAGAGAAGACTTTAAGAACTGTTTAACCCTTAGAGAACTGGTTAAACCCCAGAGACATTCTGCTGCTTTGCTTGTTGGGTGTAGGGAATGGGGAGGTAATAGATGTTACTGATTTTGCAATCGTCCATCAACCATCATAGGTTTTATTGCCTGTTAAAGTTTTCAGAAGCTAGGCAAATCACTGCAGTGCCTGGCCCTTAAACGTGCTATGTGTCTTTGCTCTCATGTCAAGAATCACTGTACTAATAGGAATTGTTACCTTTTTTTGCCCTGCCCACCATGAAAACCAACTGTCTAGGGTTATTAGTCTCGCTCATAATCCAACAGCATTTTAGGAGGTTGTGGAATAATATCCACTTGTCTGTGGATATTCATCAGCTACATGCTCAAATTTCTGATATAAGTAATTCTCAAAGTGAACACTGAGTGGCTACTAATTTGCTACCCCTGCTAGAGAGTAAGATCCCCTAAGAACTTGATTGAACCTCAGCATAGTGATCCTGCTTGGTCACCTTAGAGCAGGTGGTGGGCTGGCAACATCTTGCGTATGGGGTCCCCAGCCGATCTCCTCCCTCCCTGCCTTCCTCGGATGGCAGCTGTTTATGCTGGACGTGTGGCCAGAGACGGGTAAGGATCACGTGGAACCTCGGCAACCTAAGACAGAGCCATTGCCATGCTGCAATGAGTTTCGATGATGGGTAAGACTGAGGAATTCGCACTGACTGCCTAAGACAGGCAGCGTCCCTTAAACAAACAATAAATAAGGGGGCATCTGATGCAGACCATGCAGACCCGGTCAGGAGGTCAAGACCCTGTGGGCCCAAGCGTTGTTGACCGTCCAAACCATAGGCTCTGAGGATCAGACTTTAGCCACCTAGTAGACATAGCAAACTGTCCCTCATCTGATTATTCAGTAATGCTTGTCAGTAATCTCATACATGGATATCCACAGACAAATGTAAAAACCTTCCCTAAAAGCCGAGACTGTAAATTCCAAAAAGGCAAGTTCCCCATTCCCCACCCCTCTCCAAAAAAAAAAAAAAAAAAAAGCTAAAGTGAATAGAGAGAAATACTTTTAACTCATGATATATGGAGGGGATTATAATCAATGTAATGAAACAAGCTATATGAATGGTTGAGTGTGAAGCTGATGATGTGCCCTGTAAACTTTCACTCAATCCAAAATAAAAACATTTAATTAAAAAAAAAAAAAAAAGCTAAAGTGAATAGAGAGAAATACTTTTAACTCATGATATATGGAGGGGATTATAATCAATGTAAAGAAACAAGTTATATCAATTGTTGAATGTGAAATCGATGATGTGCCCTGTAAACTTTCACTCAATCCACATAAAAACCTTAAAAAAAAAGATTCAATAGTGAGTAATTGTTATCATGACTGTGACTGTCACAATTGTAAAGGTAGAAGTTTTGTAACAAAAATAGGGGAGTAGTTAATATTACAGTCCAAAAACAAAGGATCCTAGGACCATTAAGGGAGAAGAGCACAAGTGGAATGTGAGACCTTATCCAGAGAAGCAGAGATACCAAAATGGAGGCAGAGATGGAGAAAAGGAGCAGCTGAGGACTCTAGATTCATGGGAACAGAGGGACTGAGAGCTGGTGGCCAGGAGGCAGACTTGTAGAGTGTGCCCTTTCGTGATATAAATTATTATATATGCCTGAGTGTTTAAAAAAAAAAAGAGCTAAAATGAATAGAGAGAAAAACTGATGGTACATGGAGGGGATTAAAATCATTGTAATGAAACAAGGTATATGATTTGTTGAATATATAACTGATGATCTGTCCTGTAAACTTTCACTCAATTCACAATAAAAACATTTTTAAAAATTAATAAAACAAAACAAAAGAACTGGGACTCTTCAAAAGCCTAGTTCATCTCTTCCCCTTACATAGGGCCTGATGGAAAGTAGGGGCTCAAAAAGGTTTGGATGCATGGCTGCATATACCACTAACAACATTAAATCAGGATTTTCAAAAATCATCCCGTCATTCCACTTGCTAGGAAGTGGCAGTTGGGGAGATGCTGTCTGTCTCTCCGATACCCGGGAGGGGTCTGGTTGCTTTCAGTTCCTCTACACCCTGCCCAGTCAGTGCCCTGTCCCTCCGCTGCTCTGGGTTTCACCTTCCCCATTTGTGAAGTTAGAGTCACCATTTCTACTTCTGTAACACACTTGGCCTCTTGAAAGTATAGTTACAGTTAGGGAAATGAACAATAGAGAGGAGGGAAACTCCACAGCATAAATTGCTGACAGGAAAAACAGTCTAGATGTGGCAAAGCAGAATAGCACACAACCTTCCAAATGCGACAGTTAGACGCCAAGGGATGTGGCCTCATGCAAACTGCAGGGAAGGTTCAAATTAATGCAGTGGTTGAAGAGAAGGTACAGAATTCTTCCTTGCCAAAAACTCAGGGCATTGACTAGGACACTTGAGCTGGAAGTGGTGTCTACTTCAAGGCAGATGGAATCAGGCAAAGAAGGTCATTTTCTTTGGGTGTGTAACCCTCAAAGGAGCAGAGACTACAGTGGAAACATCCAAGAGTCAGGACCTCTCCCCTCCCTTTCTCCTTTGATACATTCTTGACCTGGGTGGTGGCGGGTACTGGCTGACGAAGGTCGGAGCACGATTGGCCCTGTAAGACAGAAGCTGCTTTTGGTAAAACTGGACACTTTTAGCCAACTCAATGGGGGCTATGAAAGTTTCCCCATGAAGACATTCTGTTACGTGTACAGCGCAGAGAAAAAACATGCACTTCACAGAATCTAGTACAATTGGCTGTTTCTTCGTATCTCTAGTTAGCAACTAAGTCTCCTAAATGATCAAATGATCTCTGAGTTACGTACCTTACACATTGTCCTCTGTGAGACTACAGGGTTTCTTTGAGGGGTTTTTTTGTCAGAGGAGATGCAAAAAGGCACCTTGCTCCGGGCTGTTATGCCTCAGGCCTGCCCTCTGGTGGCGAATGAGGAGTGTACAGCTGGGTGCCCTCCACCCTCCTCTCTAGCATGGTGCACTCAGGATTTGGAAAAGGCCTTTCAGATCACTTGTTCCAAAGTTCCTAAATTTGCCTCTGCATGGGAATCACCTAGGGCTCCAGGAGACACCCCCTAATCAGAATCTCTAAAGGTAAAATCCAGGGCTCTTAAAGTTTGAGCAGAAATGGACTGGTATTGGCCATTTTGAATCTGATGACCACATGGTTTACTATGCCGGAAACGACAAATTGAAGGGGAATGGTGTTGCATTCATTGTCAAAAAGAACATATCCAATCAGTCATGAGGTACAACACTGTCTGTGATAGGATAATATCCATGCACCTATAGAAAAGAAGCTCTGGTAGCATAATGGTTACGAATTGGGCTGTGAACCTTAAGGCCAGCAGTTCGAAACTACCAGTCGCTCCGCGGGAGAAAGATGAGGCTTCCTGCTCCCGTAAAGATTTACAGCCTCGGAAACCCTGTACAGGGTCGCTATGGGTCAGAACCGACTCGAAGGCACTTAATAACAACAACATAGAGAAGTCCAGTTAATACCACTATTATTCAAATTTACGCACCAACCACTAAAGCCAGTGAGGATGAAATAGAAGAATTCTAC